AGTTCCATCCACCTCACTACAAATAACTCAGTTTCGTTTCTTTTTATGGCTGAGTAATATTCCATTGTATATATGTGCCACGTCTTCTTTATCCATTCATCTGATGATGGACACTTAGGTTGCGTCCATGTCCTGGCTATTGTAAATAGAGCTGCAGTGAACATTGTGGTACGTGACTCTTTTTGAATTATGGTTTTCTCAGGGTATATGCCCTGTAGTGGGATTGCTGGGTCGTATGGTGGTTCTATTTTTAGTTTTTTTAAGGAATCTCCATACTGTTCTCCACAGTGGCTGTATTAATTTACATTCTCACCAGCAGTGCAAGAGGGTCCCCTTTTCTCCACACCCTCTCCAGCATCTATTGTTTGTAGATTGTTTGATGCTGGCCATTCTGACCGTGTGAGATGATACATCATTGCAGTTTTGATCTGCATGACTTCTTAGTAACTGAGCCAATGGGGAAGCTGTTTTACTGCTTTGGCCTTGGTTTCTTCATTTGTAAATTGGGGATCTGAAAACCAGCCTTTCAGAGCTGTCATGAGGGTGAGCGGCAACCCGTGCACGGTGATGTGCTCATGAAGCACAGGTGATTATTTGTAAGTCCCTCGTTTTTTCAGGTAAGAAAATCAATGCTGAGGATGGGACATGATTGAGCTATCAGTGTGAGCTACATGGGTGTTCTCCAACTGGAAAGTGCACAGAAATCGCCCGTGGCTTAGTAGGTCTGGGTGGGGCTGAAGCTTGCACCTCTAACCAGCTCCCAGGAGAGGCCCATGCTGCCTCGGGCCACATTTTGCGTAGTAACAACCTACACACCACCACCTGCAATGGCTGTGCTGAGATTTAAGCGCTTAGCTGATAGCCTTTTTAGGTAGGCCTCCACGAATTTGTCTGGGGAGCTGTGTGCCTTTAATTCTGAGCAGGGCAGGGAGGAAGGTGCTGCAAAGTATCAAGAGAAGGAAATTGGTGGAGGCCCTCCCAGGCAGGGCCCCCAGGCTCTTTCTAGCTGTTAGTTACCTGGGGGAAGGGTTATTTAATAGGTCTGTCTTTAGCAGCTCCAGCTGCTAGGGGACAAGCCTGGTGTGGGCAGCCAGTGCTGATGCAGTGTTTCCTGAAGGTGGCCTCCAAGAGGCCAAGGATGAGGAAGGCCACGCAACCGAAGGACCGGCCCTTCTTACTGGCCCTCCACCTAGGCAAGTTTATGGCCCAGAAAAGTGCAGACTGTTCTCTGTGGGCCCAGCAAGCACAAATTTTCAAGTTTTATGAGGACATTCCAGCAGTTACAGTGATATCAAAAATTTAATGCCTGTGCTTTGCTCAGCGAATAGTGTTCTTTTAGAAATGGAACTAGGTACCAGGCCAAGCTGCTCAGACATCTGCTTGTCTGGGGCCCTGTTGAACCCCTTCTTGCACGGAGCTGTCACAGACCTCTTAGAGCAGACACTCATTTGATATGGCCTTGACTCTCTACAGGTGTGTCAGAGCACTAGGCAGTTCCTTTCAAGGGCCAGCTTATGGAATAATTTCCTGTCATCAGTCTTCTATCTCAGTGTCTTAATGGAATTCTTACTGTGCTGTTCTGGCTTTCTGTTAGAGTTACAGCAGGATTAAGGAAAGTTCTGTATGTACTTCACATTGATAAGATCAGGTCCCAAGGACATCTATGACATAAATAGGAGAGACTCATTGTTTTTCAAGGCAATTGACAAGCTTTTAGACAAAGGCACTGATTATACAAAAATAGATTAATCCCTGACCCAAAGGCAAGACAATATTATCAAGTCAGTGAAACTCAGGTTCTGTGTTTTGTACTCCTATTTTCAATAAAACCAACCTTAAGAATTAAATTCTTTTACATTTATTGGAATATCCTAGATCCATGTTTCTCAAAGAGTGGTCTGAGGACCCCCTAAGTCAGAATCATCTGGGTAGTTTATAAACAACGTATATCACCTGGGCCCACCCCAAGCCATCTGAAGTTGTGGAATTAGGGCCCTCCAGACCTGTTTTTTAATTTTTTTTTTTGCGGTACACGGGCCTCTCACTGTTGTGGCCTCTCCCGTTGCGGAGCACAGGCTCTGGACGCGCAGGCTCAGCGGCCACGGCTCACGGGCCCAGCCGCTCTGCGGCATGTGGGATCTTCCCGGACCGGGGCACGAACCCGTGTCCCCTGCATCAGCAGGCGAACTCTCAACCACTGTGCCACCAGGGAAGCCCCCAGACCTGTATTTTTAACCCCCATGGTTTGAGAACCACTGAGTTATTTATTTTTTTTAGTTTTTATTGGAGTATAGTTGATTTACAAGAACCGCTGACTTCTTTAAGGGCAGTAGTGGGGGTGGCTAAGAGGAGATGGTGTGAGTGGGCTTCTAGCTGTAATTTACCTCTTTATCTACATAAAATTTTATTAGCAGGAAATGTTTCCATGGCCGAAAGAATTAGAAAATCTGTGGTGTAGTGTATAGAGAATGGGTTTTCTGGGGTTCAGATCCTGACTGCCAGTGTTTTGCCACGTAATCTTAAGCCAGTTGGCAAATGACTGCTGATTGCCAAGGGCCAGCCAGCCTGTTTTGGTAAATAAAGTTTTATTGAAACACAGCCCTACCCATTTATTTACCATCATCTATGGCTCTTTTCAGCTGTAATGGCTGAGTTGAGTAGTTGTGACAGAGACTGTAAGGCATGCCAAGCCTAAAATGTTTACTAACTGGCCCTTTAAGAAAAAGTTCAGCAACCCTTGACTTAGGTGAATTAAAGTCTCTCTCTTAGCCTCAGATTTTTTCATCGATAATATGGGATTAATAGCACTTATCTTGTATGGTGTTGAAATAATTAAATGATATAATCAATGGAAAATTTCTAGTCTGGCTTCTAATAATAATATTGGCTAAAATTGATTGATTGCTTGTTGTGTGCTAGGCACCGATTTAAACACTTTACATGGATTTTCTCATTTATTCTTTATTGTAATTCTGTGAAGTCTCATTATTATTTCCCTTTTTCAGATGAGAAAATGGAGGCCAAGGGAGTGAGTTGTCTGTCCAAGATGACACAAACTACAGTTGGCTGAGCCAGGATTTGATCCCAGAGCCTGTGTTCTTTATCGCTGTGCTGAATTTCTTCCAATGAGGTTAGTTTCCTACCTTTCCTCCCTCTCCTGAGGTTGGTCCTGCTTGTACCTTTCCTCACAAATCTTAATCCTGAGAGTATTCTGAAGTGGGAAAGCGACTGCAGAGTTTACCCAATAAAACTCATCATTTTAAAGTTGCGGAACCTAAGACCTTGCGTCCAAAGCCCCATAGTCAGATATGTGCAAAGCCAGGACTGGTACCCAGGGGAGCCCTCACTCACCAGTCAGCTGACAGCACTGAGCGATGGACTAGTTCCCCTCTGTGTAGGAAAGCATGAATTGTTCTTTGGGGAGCTGAATAAAAACTAAACACTTAGGTACTTGCTGCCCTCAAGGTCCCTAACCCTTTGAAATACATACATAAGAATTGGACAGGCTTGGCTTTAAATGCCTGTTAAACCCAGACCACCTGCATATTGTGTATCTCATGTCTCTGCCCTTCCCCACCCACAGGGATTCAGAATTTTCAGCAGTATCTATCAGTATAGCCATACTGGTTACTAAAATTTTGAAATATTTCTGCATCCATTGGAAATCATGGCTTTCCTGAGCCTGCCTAGCGCCCTTCAACTGACCTGTCTTTATTACCCTCTCTCCTCTCAACTTCCCACAAACCAGCAATTTAAGAGTTAAGTCCTAGCAGGCCAACGGGCTTAGAGGACCCTGCTTCTCTTCAATTGTGCAGTGCAAGTTCGGAGCTAATTACTAAATTCAGTCCTTTGAATGTCACCCCAGCCTGGCGGTGGCTTCTTTGGTTCAATAGGATGAGCTGAGCCAATCATATTCTCTCTCTCAAGAATTTGTGCCTAGAAGACAGGGCAGTGGGACCTTTAAGTGGGAGTTGGAACAGCAAGAGGATTGTGAAGGGGACTCCCCTGGCGGTCCAGTGGTTATCCAAGACTCTGAGCTTCCACTTCAGGGGGTGTGGGTTCGATCCCTGGTCGGGGTACTCAGATCCCGCATGCCGCACGGCTAAAAAAAAAAAAAGAGGATTGTTACCAGGGTGGGCTCCGGGCAAGACTGGGATCTGAGGAAGCCGACCTCAGTGAGCTGGAGAGGGTGGAGGCAAAGCCAGTAGAGAGAGAGAGACGTTGATAGCGTGAAAGAGAGCAGGTGGCCCAGGAGAGGAATGGCAAGCGGTCGGTCCCAAGATCCACTTTGATCGTTGAATACTTTCTAGGTCCATTAAGACTCTCTACAGGTGCCCAAACCAAACCCCTTTTTCCTGAATGAATCTGTTCTTGAAATAAAAGAGCCAGACAAATCAGTAGGGTTTCAAGCCAATCATCATTCATTCCATGAAAATTAAACCACAACAGGAGACCCATTTAAATTATAAGATCTGGGGATTTCCCTGGTGGCACAGTGGTTAAGAATCTGCCCGCCAATGCAGGGGACACAGGTTCAAGGCCTGGTCCGGGAAGATCCCACATGCTGCGGAGCAGCTAAGCCCGTGCACCACAATTATTGAGCCTGTGCTCTAGAGCCCGCGAGCCACAACTACTGAGCCCACGTGCCTCAACTACTGAGCCCGCACGCCTAGAGCTCGTGCTCCACAAGAGAAGCCACCGCAATGAGAAGCCTGTGCACTGTAATGAAGAGCAGCCCCCGCTGGCTGCAAGTAGAGAAAGCCCGCGTGCAGCAACGAAGACCCAATGCAGCCAAAAATAAATAAATAAAATAAGTAAATAAATAAAGTATAAGATCTATTGCAAGCAGCACCACAGATATCTTTGATAGCATCTGCGTGACTGGCCTGGGCTCTGAGCAGATAGACCCTCACTGTGATGAGGTTAGGGGAGGTTAGCAGCTGGAGCCTAGCAGCCTGAAGAATGCTCTCCTCTCTCAAATTGGCCTTGATTCAGCACTGCTGCCCATGAGCATGAATGATCACTTTTAATAACCAAATGGACATTGAAATGGTAATGAGAATATTATGGTTTTCCAAATGAAAAGCCTCAATCTAATACATTTTCCTTTGAGAACACTAATTTGAAAATAAAATCATAGTTAATTTAAGCTGAATTAATTACAGGGAACCATGGAAAATAACCAGCCAATGCCACTTATACCACTGCTTTCATACAGGTGCCCATGTACCTATAGAGTCTATCTATAATTTCTTACTTCCTGGGAAACTGTGAGAGTTCTGTCTTAACTAAATTTTTTCAAATGATTATAAAATGTACTGGAACTACTGAAGAAAGGGTTGAGAAGATTTTAAGTAGGAATGTGGATCATAGGCAAAATGATTCCAAGGGCTAGACCAGAAATGGAGTTGCAAGGTGATGCAACACTCAGGAGAGGAAAAGAATCCCTTAACCTGATACTCAAAGCCCAATATTCTTCTTCACCCTCTCTGCCCTCTTCCTTCACACCCTCTGGGCCCCCATCTCATGGAGCGTCCTGGGGTTTGTCTGTCTCTATCTCTGCTTGTCCTTTTCCTTCTGTTCAGAAAGCTGAAATCTCTGATGGAAATTCTTTGAGTCCTTCAAACCCTCACAATTTCCTAATCCCTATTCTGACTCTAAATTTTTATTGCATTTTGCACAGCCTCCTGCCCCATGACCTTTAAAACATATTTTCTTTTCCAATGTTTAAGGTACATGTTGTGTGTTTATTGTAAGCTACCTTGAGCTTTGGCACATTTTTTGTGCCCTGTATACCTGAAATACCTATGTCCTCCCTGCCGCACCTCAACCATTTCTAATTAGCTCTTGTTCACCTGCAGGGGACTGTTCAAAAGACACTTCTCTGGGGAGCCTTCCTGGATTTCTCAGACTAAGTCAGGTGCCCACATGTCTTCTTGTTCTCTTTTGGTTGATATTTATATAATTATCTAGTAAATGTCTGTCTCCCTCTCTAGACCATCTGGGGCAATGTGAAACATACAGACCCCCAGGCCCCGGAGATTCTGGTTCCGTGGGTCTGGGATAGGTCCTGTGGGTGGAAGGGGAGCGCTGGGAATTTCTACATCTAACATGTGAGATGCTGGTGATTCTTATTCTCAAGAAACTGTGGCAGATGGTGCTGTAGGTCCCCAGAGACTCGTACTCAGTTGGTCTGGAGCAAGGCCTTGGCAGACTGTGAGAAGAGACGGTATTTTCCATGTCCAGTTTCTGTTTTAGTTTCATGCTGTTTTGTAGGAAGTCTTGCCCTTCCCCGCCCCTGCCCCCCATAATATATTGCTTTTATAATCCAGACTGATGAGAGTATGTAGCTCCTGGGTGAGAAGGAGACTCAGAGCAGTGACCTTTTTTCATTAAGGGCCTGGATCACACCTGTTCTATGCAGTATTCCTTTCCTGTCTCTGCACATACGCTGGTAAACATCCTCTTCATTTGTAGAGTTGGTTATGGCTGAGATCACCCCCAATCCTTTCCATGTTGTGCACTCAGGGAGCCCTGGGGTAAGAAATCAGACAGGGCTTTTGGTCAAAAGAATTTGGGGAGAGTTTATTGGCCGTAGAGTATTTCATAAGAAATGGGCACCAAAGCAGTAGGCTGGGCTAAATCTGACGCAAAGAGATAGCTTTCAGAGTGATTTTAAAAGGTTATGCGATTACTTTCCAAATCTACCGTTTCCATCCCCTTCTTAACACACAGGAGTCAGTGCATACATCTGAGTGACCCACAGAGAATGGAGAAGCTGAGTCAGGCTTGCAGTCCTCATCGGCCTTGGCAGTACCTCAGCCCACCTTTCCCTTTAGGGTACTTATATTTTCTGCCCTTGGGCATGTACTGTAAACACGGAACCCAGAAATGAGTTTCAAAATTTTAAGAAACCAGTTACAAAACTTTCTTTGAGATATTTTGATGAAAAAAAATTGACTTTATTTCCATTTTGAGCACCTTATTGAGAGTCCTCAGAATTTTTGTTTTTCAGAAAACATTCAAATTATAACCTAAACTTCGGATTAGTAACCTTAACTATATACACTGATAGTTGGAAACTTATGTGCGTGATGACCTTATAAGACATTTATCGGAAAGCAAATATTCTCCCATGAATCATCACTGTCTTTTATATCAAAATGTATTACAGATAAAGAGCTCAACGTATTTGTTTCTTCCAAGCATCTTTAAAGCAGAGCAGGTTTGTCTTGAATGGCGTTTCTTTTCCATCAGAACCTGGGGCTCTCATCTGTGCAGGGAAGTTAAGTGCCATTTCGGTTTCATTCCACTTGGGGTCAGTATTGTGCTCCTGATCGTCGCTGTGTTCTCGTTTTTGTAACTTAAAAATGTGAAATTGGGGATTTCAGAGGAGATATCCATATAGTAACAAAATTGGAAGATGCCAGGGCACTCCAGCCCTGGCTGCTGCCACTTCCTTGATTGCCAGGTGCAAGCTTACTTTGTGACAAATGTGGTGGCCAACTCATTATGACTCCTTTGTCTCAACATCTTATTTTAATAATTCTGAACATTTCAATCCCTATGAATGCTTTAGAGACCCCACCTGCAGTGACAGCTTATCACACAATAGTGACAAAGGCTTAGCAACACGGGGGCTGAGAAGGCAATATTTTACCTACAGCTGTTTCTCCTTGTTGCTCTTAGCAAAATCCACTGGATTTTTCCTTAAAAGAGAGAGATTACAGTTACTTGTTTGAGGTAGAAATTAGACATGAAAACAGGGGTTCTCATTCTTGGCTGCACATTACAATCACCTGGGGAGATTAAGTAAAATCCTGATGCCATAACCTAGAGCAGAGATGGAAATTTCCGGGGAGGAGAAAGGAACTTGGGAATTAGCATTTTTTAAAGCTCTCCAGATAACTTCAATGTGTAGCCAGATTGTGAACCACTAACCCAAAGCAAAATTTGGAGTGCTGGAGCTAACTGTAAATACAGAAGAATTCCAGAGTTAAAATAGGCCACAATTGAGCCCCAAATCAGAAAATCTGGTTTCTACTCCTCTGAAAGGTGGAGAGAAGCGGGTGGACTGTTTAGGGACCCCAGGATTCAAGGAATGACATGACAGTGAGTTCTCTGGGTTTC